AGAAGCAGACTCCCTGCTGAGCCAGGAGCCCGATGTGGGGCTGGATCCCAGGACCCCGAGATCATGACCTGAGCCGAAGGCAGACGCTTAACCATCTGGGCCACCCAGGTGCCACAACATCCTTTGTTTTTGTTGAACCTGGCAACCCCACCCTCTGCTCCACACTAATCAGAGGTATAGGATCTCTGGCATAAGGTCTACTTGAGTTCTACTTACAGGGAAATATTTGAGCTTTTCCTCAGAGGAATATCTGACCCACCTGAATCTAGGGCTTTAAATTTAAAGAACTCCCTTACAACAGACAGGAGCAAGAGTCTGATCTCCACACTCCGGGAGCTTCTGGAGCTCCAGATACACCTGCACACATGCACACCCATCTCCTTTTGGGAAAGTGCTTGGAGCAATTACCTGGAAGCCCCATTCTGTTGGAACCCTTTCCCTGGGGCTGGTGTGCACATGTGTGTAGGGGAAGGAGGGGTGGCTAGCCATTTGTTAATTAACCTTAGCAGTTTGGGAAGCAAAGCTCCAAAGCCATGGTTCTCAAACTTTAGCATCTGAATTGCCTGAAGGTCCCAGATTGCTAGGACCATTTGTCTCTCAGGTCTTGGGGAGTACCTCCCAAACGGGCATCTTTAAGTTCTCAGGTGATACACATGCTGCTGGTCAGGAGCCCAGTTTGAGAACCGCTGCTCTAAGGCCTTATTTTTCAAATTCTAATGAACATATGAATCAGCAGGAGTCTTTAAGTTAAATTGCAAGGGCAGATTCATAGCTCTGGCCCAAATCCCGCATTTCTAACAAGCTGCTGCCAGGTGATGGCCATACTTTTGGTCTGAAGCATAGCTATCTGACGCATTTTAAGAGTGGTTAAAGGTTCAACTATGTGCGCAGACATCTGAGTCTAAACTAAACCCACACCCTCCTCTGGGTAATGAGCAAAAAGGCATGGTCCCTTCCATTGATTACCTTGTTCGGACAGGCACCTGAGAGAAGCATACCACTTGTTGAACTGAGTGACAGAGTGATCAATGAGGTAATTTGAGGTTTATTTAAGTATTGACATTGATCCCAACCCTAAATAAACATGTCTGGTTTTGTTTTCTAACAGACTCCTTAAGCCAAGCGTGCAGATGCCCTGCAGTTCATCTGGGTCCTTGCTGTATTGCATCTCCGCCGGCTTCCCAGCTGAGCGCGGAGCTGCGGGTGGGTGCAGGGTGGGCACAGGATGGGCACAGGATGAGCACAGGATGGACATGGGATCATCCGATTCCGTGTGGGGGCAGGTCGAATTTGTCAGAACTACACTGAGGTTATGAATGTCTTCCAAATGAAATTTGAAGAATAAAGTTTGGCTTTGGTAACCTTTGTTAAACGCTTAAATATTATGTCAGGTGTCACAGATTTTTAAGTTTTTCATTTAATTCTGGCTTTCACAAATTTTCCTTTCCATATTCAGCAGGTGTTTAAGAGCTTATCTGATGAGGCACTTTCTGATCCCTAACTTCTAGTTCCCACTGGAAGTCAAACTTCCCATGCTTCTAGAACTAGTCCAGCCCACAGCTGGGAAAGAAGTCAGGTACTGACAGGGCCAGTGGGATGGGGGCAATTCTTCTAGTTTCCTGTTCCCTCCAACACTAGTGTACTTCGCTGCTTGGGATTCTTAACCGGGACTATGCAAAGCAACAGTTCTTAACCGGCAACATGACCCAGACACAGAGGGAACTCAGACTAGGACACAAAGGCTGCTTCCTCCCCGTCCCAACATCCGGCGGCGACCAGGGCGACCCAGCCCTCCACTAGGACAGCTGGCTTCCGGCGTCACCCCCATGCCACACTTGTGTGACCCCCCACCGCGGGTTGCCGCTGGCTTGTGGCTGGTACGAAACGGACCGCAGCTATGTTCCTAGCTCTTGAAATTGAGCAGGGGCGCAGCTCATTGGGCTTGAGACACAGTGTGGGGGATGCATTTACAGAGCAGGGTTGGTAAGAGTGACAGGGAACTAAGAGAAATCATGGTTTGAGGCAAGAGTTCCCCTGGTTCGAGTTTCAAAGACACCCGGATCCAGGAAAACAGGTTTCTGTGGGGTAAGGACAGATGGACCACGGCATCCCACCAGAACAGACTTCACGTTAAGGGAGAAAATGTTTTATTGGCACAGTCATTCCTTTCCTGGTTAAATTAAGAGAATGAAGCAGTGATCTTTACACGGGTAAAGCTGGTTTCTCCCGAATGAGTTTCACTGTATTAGGCTGGAAGGCCGATCGGGCTGTGACCACCTAGTGGTGGTGAAGGGAGACACAGCCTGTGAAGCGAGGACAGCTCCGACTGTTCTCTTTCATTCACATGATCAGCTGAGGTGCACGCAAAATAAAACACCTAAAAAGGAATCATGCCAAGGACAAGACCAGAGAGGGTGTTTGCTGCAACACCGCAAACCTCAAGAGATGCAGGGGCCCTGGGAGAACGGCTCTCCCCCAAGGGCCGCCCCACTGGTTTTCTTTTCAACCTAGTCCACAGCTAGCGAGCTACTTGCTTACAAGTACCGCCGCTGGTGGGGACTGGTCTTGTTAGGCATTCCACTTTCTATTCCCCTGGAACGCCTAACAAACCCTCTAGGTCTCGGTCTGGCTTCCTGGTGTGCGCGGATGGGGGCAGGATGCGCTGGGGCGCGGGCACTAGGCGCAGCACTAGTCGGGGGAGGGGGTGGAAGGCCTCACTTTGCTTGCGGTGGTGGCTCACGTCGTCTAAGTATGCCCTGGGGCCGCAGTCCACCCAGCGGGCTGGGAGGTAGCCAGGCCTTGGACGTGTCTCCTTGGAAGACGGTTCTGATGGTAAGACACGAGGTTTGGCCCAATCCTTCAGGCCCTGTCTAAAACCTCTTGTATCTTATCTCAACTCAAAAGAATAAAAGACATTCCTCCCCATCTCCTCACCAGCCCAACTGGCTATTATTTAGGGAAACACTGCCCCAGGGCTGGCAGGACCAGTCCCACAGCAGATTAGATCTTTTTCCAGTACTGGTCAGTGCATGGGATTCCAGCCACAATTTCTGATTCAATTCCACAGTGATCCCGTCCTCTGAGGATTTTAAAGAAACCTGGAAAGCAAAAATATGCCTTCAGAGTGTGCTGAGTTTTGACCCTTGCCGAGGTACTCACACTCATCCCAGAAAGACTTAGGAGCAGAAGACTTAGGAGCAGCAGCCTAGCCCCAAAGCAGTCAGCAAACCAACCCCAAGGTGCTCTCCCGACTTCTCTTGTTTGCCCAGTAGCTCGGCTCCACGTCACGAGGCCTCTAGACCCCACTTCCACTTGACCCACATAAACAGGCACTGCACCTGGGGCGTGGGGAACTGTGAGACACAAGTGACCCGAAGCCACGTCCTGATCTCTACCAGCCTCTCTTGGGGTCAGCATCTGCCTTCATGGCAAGGGAACCCCCAGGAGGTCACTGTTGAGCCCCAGGCCCAGTGTCTGGAGCAGAGCAGGACAAGATGACCACTCCGTCCTGGCTCACACCCCCCACGAGCAGGCAGGGGGCCACCACGCACCATTGTCGCCCCAGTCCGTGTTCCAGGAGTTGCCAACCAGCCAGTAGGGTGTGCCATTCTCCACTCCCCAGCCCAGGATGCGGACAGCGTGGCCTCCCATCATTTCTCCAGTGACGTGCTGGTACACTCCTGACAAAGGGACGGCCCGTTCAGGCAGAGACCGGTCCCGGAGCAGCCCTCCAACTCGGCTGGCTCCCCGGGCCCACCAAGCCCTCCCAAACAAGGTTACACAGAGAGCGCCCTGACGTTCTCTCAGAAGGCTCCAGGGGCTCCCACCACATGGGGGTAACCATTTCAATAGGTTTTTGAAAGCCCAACACCCAAATAATGTTGAGTAAATATTAAAGGGGATTCCCAACAAAATGAGCTTGTTGGTTGCCTTGAAAACTGAAGTTATAAATTCTAATCTAAGAAGTAAATTTAAACGTTAATTCCAGCTATCCGCTCTACATGCTAGGACTCCGTGGAAGGATGTATTTGTCAAAAGGGTTCTGTAACTTGAGGAGTTTCAAGTTGCTGCCCTGGGATGGACCCTGCAGGGATGAAAAGAGAGAGAGACTGTGGCGGCAGCAGCCGGTGCTGACCGAGCTCAACGTGCTCACGGGGCCTGTGCAGCAGGCGATGCCCTCACTGGTGAGTTAATCAGGCTGTGAAACTGGAAATGCACCCCTTTAAATTACAGGGGGGCGGGGGAACTGTTAAAAAGCGCCAGCTTTATAATCTCGTCTTGCCAGAATCATCTCCCTTTATCCAATGACGTTTCCTAAGAGCAGAGAGCGCTGAAGAGTTCGAGGCGGCCGAACGGAAAGGAGACAGCAGAAGTCGGCTACAGACTGTTCATCTAGAATGGGGGGGTTTCGAAGGCAGCTCTCGGGCCGGGGGCTGTCGGGTTCCCCGGGGTGGATCCCACAGCCAGGTGCTTCCTGCCCACCCTCCCCCCCCCAATGTGACGCATGGTCTGGGACTTCACCAGCACAATCCGATGTTTTCCTCCACGCTCCAGCCCTGTCGGTCCCCCTGGAACCCACACCTCCCCGGCTCCCGCTGCCATGAGGGGGCAACACGCACCAGACTTGTACATCAGGAAGTCGGAGTACACGGTGAAGGCTGCCTCTACCGGGCCGTTCTTGTAGATCTCCGCCATGATCTCCTTCTCGCTACTGGACACGCTGTAGGAACTGCATCCTGGCAAATGGGGGGGGGGGGGGAGGTGAGGCGTGCCCCCCGCGGCTCCATCTGTCAGCTCTTCACTGACTTACGGGGAGCCGCCAGGTGAAGACTGTGTTTGGGGCCTCGCCCAGCCCAGGGGTCTGGGAAGGCTGCCCTGGGGAGGAATGAATGATGGCACCGGACCAGGAAGCGGAGATTGGGCGGGGGGCGGGGCCCACAGCTCTGCGGTGGGAGGGGCGGTGAGCACAAGACCCCGGAGGAAGGGCAGAGTGGTGCCCAGAAGGTTCTAGGCCAGATCACTCCCCTGTAAAACAAGGGGCCTGGTCCCTCCAACCCTAAGGGTGTGTGCCCAACACGCTGGGGATCCTGGGGCCGGATTTGGCATGGAGACAGGCAGAAAACACAGCGTATTGCTCCCGCTGACAAGACAGTCAGTCACGACCTTCCTTCCTCCCTCCTGTGTTCCTGACTCCAAGGGTCAACTGCCCCAGCCTCTTCCTTCCTCTGGCTCCGGGAAGGGTGTCAGCGGGTCCCGGGCCCCGGGGTGCTGGGAGCGTGGGCCCCACCTTACCATAGTGCTTGTCTTCTTTGTAGGACGGGGTGTAGCCGGGCTCGCAGATCTTGCTGCACTTGGGGGTATCCCCCTCCCCTGTGCATGGGGGCCGGGAGCCGTTCACGTGGTGCTCACAGGGAGGGATGGAGTAGGGTCTGCAGCCTGGGGGGCCAAGGAGAAAGGAAGGGATCGGCTGACAGTCTCTTCAGAAGCCCTCTGAGGGCACAAGTGCAGCAAACGGGAACAGGAGGTCAAAGGTGCAGCATGAACACCGTTGCTAATCCTGCCCTGTTCTGCCCTGGAGGGCACCGCCTCCTATTTCTACCGGATTTTTTAGCCTCCTGCCCTCAACGCTCAGCCCTCACTTTATAATGCAAGCGGAGACCATTCTTCCTCATGGCTTATAAAATCCGGCTAGCCAGAGAGGGGCTGAGGGCAGACACTCACCTACATGAGAGTCATAGAGCCCACCGGAAACCAGGCCTTGTTTTGTCCAGAAGTTCCAAGCTTCAGCAGGAAAGCCCCCATTACAGCTAAGAAAAGAGCCACTCGTTAAATTCATTGTGAGAGAACTTCTAGCTGCTCCCAGGCCACACCGCCTGCTGCCAAGGCCCCAGGGTCGCTTACGGATCCCCCAGGGCCTTTAGCCGCTAGCCCAATAGCTCTCCCGGGTCCCAAGCAAGCCCACTTCACCCTCCCTGGGATAGTCACCTCTTCCAGGGCATCGCCCTAGCTCCCGGGCCTGCCCACCACCCGCCCCAACAAGACAGAAGGACCCCAAACCAGGCTGTCACACAGATCCTCAATCAGCACGCTGAAATCCCCTGGTGTGCTAACACACACGAAGCTAATGCTGGGGCCTGGGTTGATCGGGACGAGGTAAGGCCTGGACGCTTCTATTTAACTCCCAGGTATTTGTAACCCGTAGCCGTATCCGAGAACCACGGCTGTAAAACCAAGGCCAGAGCGGGCAGAAGAGCAGGCACCCACGGTGGGAATTTAGGTTCCGTGACCAAGCTGGGGGCCCATCATTCTTCGTTAAAGAAACGAGCTCCCAAGGTTATTACATTTCCGTGAGCAAGGAAGGGGGACAAGGATGACAAAAA